ATTATTTGAATCCACTCAAAGACGATCGACAAGGGCAAAATTTTAATGAGACATTACCTGCTAAATTAGATTTATACCGGTTGTGATTCTATCTCATACTCTAGCAAATTAGTTTCTCGAAACGGCTTGAACAATTGACTGATTATTTTGGACATAATCATTTTTGTATGAAACTGTTATTTTCCCCTAATAAAGTAACTTGACAATGATTAGTATTTCAAACACTAGTAATGTTACCTAGATCTTTATACTCGTAAGTTGTAATTTGTACGCCGAAAAGGATTTAGCCGCTACGTTATTCCAAATAAAATTATTCGCTTTAAAAACAGTAATTAAAACAATAGCTGTAAAAGCTACGTGATTCTATTAAGGAATTCATTAATAAAATACCTTAAGTTTTTCACTTGGTTCATATTAGGAAAGATTTAAGACTCGGTACGTGCGCGCGGGGGAAGTGAAATATTGTTTTAATTTATTTTTACTTTATTTAACGCTTGCATATTTAATGATTTAGAAAGGAGAAGAATAAAGTACTTACATGCATGTACGATAAATATTTTGTATAAACAATAAACTAAATATGAAATAAAATAACTTTAAGATAATATACGCGTAAGATGTAACAGTACAGCATTTTAGACATAACAAGAGTTTCATATATTCACTACTGCATTTCAAAATTCATGCTTTTTATTTAGTTTTATGACGTTTATTGGAATTCAGGTTCAATCACTTTTTACGGAGCTCACTACAGCCTTTAAATACATAAAAAAATAATACTTTAACATCAAGGACTTGTAAACTGACGTATGTAGAACTACTTCGCCCATTTGTAGATTTGTATGAAAAATAAAAATCATCCGTCTAACGAACCGGATTAATCGATGTTAACCACAGCACCAGAGCCGTAATGCCGTTATGTTATAATGTGACTAAGGACCAAAATATAAAGGTGGAATAAATTTATAGTATACATTTTATGTGGGTATTAAAATCGCTTCTCTAATCAATCTCTTTAGATCTCATTACTCAAATTAGCGATAATATGAAATTAGCTAAAGACCTGTCTTGAATTAAACTTAATCCAAAAATGGTAGTAAAGTCAGGTGCATCTTGTCCATGTAACCAAGATTTTTGTTTTCTAAAATTTAAATAAATTGTAGCTAAACTTATTTCAATATCTTTACGTAAATATTATAGAAATCCTGATGAAAGGCTATACTCAGTTCCTACAGTTTTACAAAAATTAAATCAAATTATGTAAGGTTTAATGATGTTCAAGGAATTTCAAAGTTAATTTTTCGGAAAATGTATTGCATAATCAACGGCATTCACTAAAAACTCGCATGCAATTTGTCCGTGTTACTGCCCACGGACACGAGAGAGTGTGCCTTATAATTTTTCCGGTGGAAGATTGCTACGTAATGCGGGGTAAGGGGCTGCGTGTATTACTGTATTTCCTTAATAGACTACATTTACCATTCCCAACAATTTGGGACAAAATTGTGAGTTAAATTCTCTCGTGCAGGAAATAAACCAATTCGCTTCGGAATAAATTTTAATTTATTTATGCATGGGAATCTGTGCGTTCCATTATTATTGTCACTTTATTATTATAGATAGTTACTTGGAATAATATTGAATGTTTTGGAAATATATAATATATAATTTGGATAAATATCTGCAAAATATGTTTAAATTTCCACGATATTCGGAATATTTATCTTGTTTAATTGTTGACTTTGTATACAGCACAATGTTTGAAATGTATAAATGTGTTGCAAAGTTTGACATAAAATAAATTCAAGCACTTCATCGAAATCCGTTTATTTCAGAAACGATAATTCAATCTTTATATTTAAATAGGATGTCAGCTTGTACATTATTTATTTGTAAGCGATTGTTTGGTAGAAATTTATGCTGGCACCGACAGGGCGAGCCGGGCCGCTTAGAGCTTTCCTCCTGTTACATATTTCACTACATAAATCACAACTTTATTTCCTTTCGCTCAGTAGATGCGGGGCCGGAGAGGTGTCTTTGAACGGCTTTAAGAGTTCCCAGCCATGCCACAACAAAGGGGCGCGAAATTAAATTATATGTAGTTGGTACGTTGCTATTAATATATCTTGAAATACATTTTAATTTTAACGCCTTCCTTCGTCAGCTTTGAAGCGAATTTAATTTTAAGTAATATTGTACTGAATTTCTACTACACTTAATCCTATGGAGAAGTTATATTTTAGATTTGTCGCATAGATACTTGCGTCACTTAAACTTGTATTATAATGATCAACTTATTCTTAAACGGTACTTGGATATTCATTGTTACTTTCCGCAATATAAACTATAAATACTATTTTTCTTGCCCCTGGATAAAGAAAGGCTTACGTACAACGTTCCACTTAGCTGTAGTTACCATTTATAATGAACTATTATTGCACAATACAATACGGACTGCGTTAATTGTTTAATAGACGCAGTGATTATGATGGAGTGAGCGCTTGCTCATTTTGATAGGGTTTTAGCGGTTCTTCCTGCCAATTAGTGCTATGAAAACAGCGAGCGCGAGACAATAGGAGTGGGAGGCTCATGAATTTATTGTAAGGTTACTGGCTTAAGTTATTTAAGTGCCGGCGGAACGGACGTTATTCACGTGCGAGACGCCGCGCAGAATGCAGCTTCCTACGACAATTTATCATGAATCTTTAATTAAACTTTAGCAGTGACTGTTCGCGGGGCTCATTGTGTCTCGCGATACGCCCGCTATATTGATTGTTTGTTGCTCTCCGCAATTATTATAACTACCATCTTTTGCGTTCTTGTACATATTAATATATTCCAAGAATTTACTAACAATAAACTTGTACACGATTTGTTGATAGAAAACTTTGTTTAGTAGTTGTAATCTAGAGTTGTGTGCACGTAAATCACAACTATTTCTACATATTGTTCGCCATATGATGTAAATCCTTATGACATAGGCTACGGCCAAAAGATTATATGAATCTCTCGAAGTGCGATAACAAGCATATATCGATGATTGTTCCGCGATATATGTTAATCTGTTTGGTTGTTTTGTAAAATAAAATATGATGTAGGTAACAAAGATGTGACTGGTTGTACGAATTGTGGGAACATCCTTTAAGGCCAAATTAAATGATGGAGTTTCAAAGTTATTCCGAGTTCGTTTATAATGCAATTAAGTAGTTGCGCCGGTTTGCCGGTAGGATTCAATTACCAACTTTGTGAATATTTTATACCGGCAAGACAAATGGCTATCAGGACGGATACTCGACCGGATGTATTTCTCAAATCTAGTCTTCTTGTCAACGGGTATTATTTTCATTGTAATAAGTTTTTTTGAGTTCTCATTTATATTTTACATGCAATATGGGCCTTTGAAACTATGTTGTGTTTTCTCATCTACAATACTAGAAGGCAGCGCTTTACAAAATATTTTTTTTTTGACTTTCCAAAATTTCGGAATCAAGAGGGAATATCAAGTTTTAATTTACAAAAATTATAGTTCTTACGGTGAAGGAAAACATCGTGATACAACCTGCACATTTCGGCGAAGAAATTCAAAGATATGTGTGAAGTCAACCAACCCGCACTTGGCCTATGGCCTAGTCACCCTAACTTTAGGGTAGGCTCCGAGACCCTCGGTGGGAACGTATAGTGAGCTGGTGATAATGATGATGATGATGTTTCCTGCAAAAGATAAACAACAATTCAAGAAAATCTGTAAGAAAAAAATCCTTCAAATATTAAAAATAAGTGATAAAATTTTAAAATAAAAGAGTTTTCCATATGTACTTTATTTCTGTTTATATATTTAGCTATAATATATTTACAACAATATTAACATTTATTTATAAACCAGTAAAGATTTACATGTAACAATAGCTTTATAGTCGTAATAGTATGTTCCTGTTTTTTCCATGTTCTTTCGCACTCTGCATCATATTTATTAGAATTGGCAAGCATTCAATTTGTAAATCACTAATTAATAAGGACAGTTAATGGAAACGAACATAAAAAAAACATTTATAAATAAATACGATTATTTTATCTTTTTAGAGTTTTTTGCTACGAACATCTCAAATCAACTAATTCACAAACATTAACTACTTCTAAAGAAAATACGCTCTAAGCAACAATTAACATTTCACACAAATGGTAGAAATCTAGTCGCTTTGTTTACCTAGACTCGTTTTAAACATATTTCTCTAAATTTAACATTTTTGCGTAATACGGTACTTTTAATTTTTTTTTCTTCATGGAAAAACAGTTAATAAAATATTTCAACGTATAATTTGGAGTTTAAAATTTAGCGTATCAATTCATTTTGAATTCAATTGAATGAAATGAGTCGTCTGTTTTCCGATCAAACACGATATTCCTAAATATTTCACTAATTGTTTTAAGTAACATTTTCTTATTTTCATAGTAAACGCATACATTATCATATCTATGATCTATCACAACATCGCGGACTTAAGCTTTAAATAGTTCTGTTGAATTTCGATACCTCGATAAACAGCGCGTGCGCTTTGAATGATACTTCTCGAACATTACACTCAAATGCATTTCCGAAAGGCACTAGTTTTAATGTTTTATGTAAATAATTTTCTATTAAAAATCGTTGCGATTCAGACTAAGGACTGTAAGCTTGAAATTACTTATGTACAACTGAGTGTTTACATTAATACAACACATTTACAAGGTATACAGCTATAAACAACTATACATGGATAAATTATGACTTTATATTTGATAATTCGATATTAGAAGGCTTTATTTACATTTCGACTAGTATTGACAACCTTCATTGAATAATTCGAAAGTACATTGATCAATCTAACATATAACAGTAGTTCTTTATTTTAAAAAAACGCTTTTTACACGTTTATTTATATTAAAGCCTTTTTAAATATTGAAAATAACGAGGACATAGGTTATAATTAAACCATTCTATATGGACTATTCATGGGTCAGCATCATCGGCAGATGAGACTTTCTTCTCTAGCTGCGCACGCGCCGTGCGGAGGCGCGAGGAACAGTTTCCCATTAGCACAGGCGCATAGCTGGTAAATGTTCTGATGGTGAGGGTCGTGTGAATGCGCTGTTGACGGAGGCAGGGGAAGAGCTGACTTCAGCTTCGGCATGTATATACTCGGCGCATCCAGCCGTATCTGTAACGAATAACAGAAACGTCAAAAGAGTCAACAGCTTGTTGTACTGACAGAATCAAATCTAAAGTAATAGGGCAAAATAATTGGAAGTAAAAACATTCAATCTCATTACTTTCTTCAATAAATATTATCAATATATTATATCAACTAATAATATGTATTGTCTATGTTTACCGCGCCAGCAATAGATCGCAGTCGGAAGGTGGTAAGGCAAGTGGCGCTGATGTCACCGGCGCGGGACTCCAGCGCTATGCTCTGTGCCGCGTGCATCTCCAGTGACCTCGTTGGTGACTCCAAGCTGTACACAAACAATAATGCAATTTTATTGACATAAAAACATGAGGAATAGATACACGATCAGAAAGGTACTGGTTATCTGTCTTCTTAATATTGGTGATACTCTATCACGGGTTAAGTAGGAGATAATAAATAGGCAGAATAGGTATGTGGGACCTTTTGTAGTAAAAATGTTTGTAAATTTTTGTTATTTTACTTGTATTTTCTTTATCCATTCCTGATATACTTCATGATGCAGATGAAGATGATGATATGATGCCATATAGTTTATGACAATAGTCGAATGGAATTCGAACCCTCGACTGCAAGATCGGTAGTCCGTACCCCAAACCGTTAGCCTATTGGCGCTTAAACCTTACATAAGAAAATTAGAATTGACAATAGAAATACCTGTACAACATAAAATAATAAGAAACTTACACTAATTGTTTGGAGGGCGGCGCTCGGACTAGCGGCGTTTGTACCGCAGTATGGAAGGTGGCTCCGGCAGGACTGGCTACCACTAAGTTGTCTGCGCCCACAGACACCGCGTCTGGAGTCGCGCTCAGTAGTAACACGCCACGGGAGTCACGCACCTCTAAACGACCCACGTTCACCTCCAAACGGTCATGACCTAATGAGAAAAGAATAACGATAAAAAATGAATCAAAAACTCAACTCACGTATAGTCTTTCAGTGACGGTACTAACTCGTGACTCGTCAGGGGTCTATCTTCAGGACGAGTGCTTAATTCACTTTACCTACTTTTTACTTAATACTTTTTACTTAACCAATCGCACTATACTTTAAGTCTAAATGACTTTCTTTCAATAGAGTATTTTGCATTATGTTATTTTGGTTTAATCTATTCTTAAGTATTTATTTTATCAATGTAACAGACAGACAGATATTTTGCGTATTAATTTAGTACGATATTTTTGTATTGGTTTTATAATTGGTTTCTAGAGTACATATAACATTGCGTAAATTGTCACAGCGTAGTTAATTAGGACACTCGTTGCGTGGCTGAACAGTGATGCAGACGCGACGGGAACTGTCTCGTCACATGTACAATGCAACTCGTTTAATAATATTTATACGTTATTGACGTATGACGGGGCAATTAGTCCTCCACTGCAATACGACAGTAAAAAGCTCTTAAGCTTTAAAATTTTAAATGGCGTCTGAATTATAATTACACATTACTTCTCTTTCGTTTGCTATATGCTTATTGTCCGGTATTTTAAAGATAAAACTCGTTATTTTGGTTTCGAGTTGGGGAAAGTAATTGAGTTTAAATTTATCAAAAAATTGAAGCTATTATTTTTAAACTTACCTAAATATAACCTGCTCTGAAGAAATCCTTGTGAGTCTCTGGTGCAGACTGTGAAGTTTCGCGAGGACTCGACGGTGATGGGCTGACCGCGACGCGACTTGATACTAGACGCGAACAAGGAGTCCAATACTAAAGCCTGACCCAGAAGCTGCAGACCTCCAGGTACTATACGTAGCTGACCCATGCCCTCCTATACGAAATGTAATAATCAACATACAAACAAGTTAAGAATCTTCTCTTATTGGAGTCGGCTAATGTATATCAGAACACAGAAAGAAGAAGGAAAATAGAAGATAAAATAATCATTCAATTCTTTGCACATTACTACGCTAACATTTGATTTTGACTTTGACTTTGATAATAATGTTTTTAAAGAATATACGATGTTCCATGTTCTATTGGAAATTGAACAAATATTAAGTGTACTTTGAGTGTAAACATTTCAATTTAAAGCCGCACTTACCGAATTAAAATCCAATACTTTTAAAACCCAAAGCGTCAATGCAAGATTGATTATCATCATGAACATAAGCGCCATAACGAGAATATAAAGGCATTTTTTTCTCCAACCGTATATTCCGACTTTAAATTGACTGTTGTAACTATTCCTGATTGAATCTGCCTTCGTGTCTCTACCTTCATTGTTGTTAAGAATCGGCTCTGGAGTTATTTTGTCGGCATACGGTATTCTGAAATACAAACAAGTTTTATAATCAATTGATAATTAAATAAACCGGTAAGTAAATATAAATTTAATGAGAGTAAACTCAATATTTAGTCTTGTTTTGTAACTCAAGTTTACAACACTACCTACATTTAAATGATATTTTATATAAACTCTCCTATGCTTGCAAACTTTCATAAATGCTATGTTTAGTATTAGTTAATTCCCTTAAATAAGTGAATTGTAAATTTTTATTAAGGTAAATAAATATTCTTAAACCGTAAATAGTCAGGCAAACAGCATAATAATATTTTGTGAGTATTTTTATACACACGTAATGGTATACGGTAACTACGAGTACTTAACGATTGAAAAATGAAACGAATTTTATACTTTGCTTCGTAATCGCCATCTTCATACAATCATCAAAATTTAAATGCAATTAGGAGGTTAAGAGTGTCTTTATCATTTAAGACGCTGTTATTTAAATGTCGTTTCAGTGTTCGACCGTAAGTGTTATAAAAACATTTTTCTATCGACAATCAGTGTTACAATGTTAGGTAGGGTAATATTGATGGAATCGTTCCTGTTCAAAACACCTTTATAAAAAACACTTATTATAACGACGTTCAGTAAAATGAAAATATACCTCCTCATGTAAATGTAAATTTATACCAAAAGAAAGGGTAATATATTTTTAAAATTGATCTTTTTGTGCACAACAATGCTAACATACCGGGGAAACAGTTGTTCGAAACACATTCCACTTGCATAAATCATAGCTTTATTTCCTCTAGTTCCTACGGATCGCAGCAAATCTGGTTTTATGTCGCGTTCAAGTGTCTTATCTCCCGGCGACATTATTTTTCCTTAAACACTTTTTGATATAATGTTCAAATTTATTGTAAAATGTTTTCGTGACTCATTTTGTAGTCGTAGAAGTCTGATTTGAAAAGAATTTACAAAATGTCGATTTAATAGAACTTAGAAGCAAAATGAATTTATATACATACATGAAGTTTCCATAATTTATAGTGAGTGCATAAACGATAAATGCCTTTCGAAATTTCTTAAATTTATCAAAAAAGATTAGGGTCAATCAAGGCTTCCATAAATGTAGGAAATGGTTATTTATAAAAACCATATTATAGAAAAATTCTGTAAGTATTTAAGTACTTAAAGTAAGTTTTAGCGATATTCATAATGGTAGAGTGATTGCTTCACCACAGTAGAATCAATCGAAGTTTTCCCCTTTTCTTGTAAACAATGTATGTCGTCGCCACAATACGTACTATAAAAGTAAAGTACTTGACTGTATGGATGTTCCTTTTGTGATATAAAAATGTACTTTTGCTTTACCCCTAGCTGCATGTAATGAGCGGCAACACGCTTGATATCTAATAGTCACGCGAACTAGATTACGCTAAAACCACTGAAATTGCTAAAACGCCTTTCTGTACACAATTTTACACTCAATCTTATTTACCGTTGAAGGTGCTTTTGGAATTTGATACAAATTTTAAAATTTACTGCAAATTAACCAAAAGTTATGAGTTCCAGAATAATGTAATAAATTTGGTAGGAAATGTCATTTACCTTTGAAATAGTTTTGAATAATTTATTAATCTTTTTATAAGAATATAGTAAATTGAATTGGACATATTACCAAGTCAAGGTTTTAGGACTCAGTGACAGTAGAACAATTTTTTTACGAAGGTCAAAAACGAAATTTCTGAGAGCCAAAAAATAGAAAATGTCTAAATTTTTTGTTAAATAATATTTCAAATATGGTCAGAAATAAAAGCTCTTTACAATCCACTGTTTAAAATTTAGTTAGACTCTCATTAGCAGTTAAAACAATGGGTGGCTTGTTTTGTTTGACTATTGCAATTATTCGTATGAATAGAGGACTGGGCACCGGGAGGGCGCGCGGCGGCCGTGCATTACTGGCTTTTAAACAGCTGGATTTTATTTGGAAACGAGTAAAACGCACATTTATTTGCACGGAACGAGTTTATTGTTTTAGTAAATACGGATTTAACAACTTCGATAACCGTAAAAGTTCCGTTGTATCTGTTCTACACACAAATAAAAATGCTATTTGTCTATTTTTTTACTAGTATTCGAATACTACGAATAGTAAAGGGAATATCAAACAAGGTTGAATAGTTACAACTATTTTAGGTATTTTTAAAGTCTATTATAACGATTACAACTTTGTATCCCCACAGGTAACAAACATGTAGTCACGGTGCATTATTAAGGAGATTCTAGGTCTATCTTCACGCGTTCTCGAGAACGGACAACGAGGTTTTAGTAAGTTTCACATAACTCTATCTTTTCCCTAGACGTATATCTTTTGAAAGATCAAATGTTCCAACATTTAAAGCCCTTATGATTGATCATATCTGCATTTAAATATATTATAGGAACATGAAAGTGTATATAAAATGGCTACTGAAAGTAGTTTCGTCATAAAATTGTATTCAAATGGAACATATGTGTTCACAATAGGTATCATATTTCGCCGAGACGTGGACGAAATCGGCCGATTCGGTATTCGTAAAACTAGCCACCGTCAGCGGATAAGGGTCATAAATTTACTAGGATTGAGCAGAACGGAGTATTGTGTACGGAAATGTGCCCATCTTAAGTGCCAGATACAACATCGTGTTTCTATTATGTACATTATGGAATGAGATGTTGGATTTAAATACCTCATATATACTTATAGGACATAGTTAAAAGAACTTTTATTGTATAGTTTTGTAATAATATTTAAAAAGTATTCGCCTTAAGTTAGTATGGAATTGTAATTTATAAATCTTTTTTGTTTTCAATAAAATTATTTCTTTCTTTTGTACTAAACTTCCCTAAATGTAGTGTTTTAAATTGTCTATTGAAAAGAAACATTTTTATTAAAAGGAAATACTTAAATAAAGCCTGTGTGAAAGCGGTCGTGCACTTTATCTCTCCGTCCAGTCTCCCAACACGTTTGGGGGGTTTACGTGGCATTAGAAACCAATTACAACAATAATGTTGGGCTCTTACAGGACGGCCTTATTCGTATTTTTAATAAAAAAAAGTATAACGTATCAATATTGTCATTTTTATAAATTATCACTTTTATCGGCTTAAATTAAACTGATAAATCTTGATGTAATTGTTAAAAAGAAAATAAAAAGTTCAAGTAAAGAAATACTAAATGTAATAAAAAATCGGAATAACACAAAAATACAAATTAGTACTAGAAACCAACAAAGAAAACTAGATTTATTATACAACAGGTATTATATGTACAGTAATGATTAAAAAATACACATCCTTTCTTCTAAGTACGCGCATTGTAGGTACCCCTTGCCAGTTAATCTCACGTCATGAGAACAGCGAGACAATTAATAATTGTTAAGTCTACATAACAGAACGAGGTAATTAAATTATACCTCTAATTAGTTATTCAAAACTGAAAACTGTTATAAAGTCATCAAATACATATGTACTATGACAACAATTTACTAAATTTATTTATTCGTATAACAGATTATGAACACACATAAATACTATATAGGACAATCCCATGGATTTTATTGAAATAAATGGTGTCACAAATGGAGCCGAATAAATTCTGGATACGGAAACGTAAATGATGCACGTAGCTACACGAACGTAGATGTTTTATCCGTAGCCGCGTGTCCCGTAGCGGCGTAGCTTCGTAGACTCCGTAGAGTGCGACCCCGAAGGCTGCGCGTGCCGCAAATGAGGCATATTAATCATCTCCATCACGGTAACACGATTTCCGAGCTTCCTTACTTTCTAGATACGCGTTAAAAAGACATTGACTTTGTTACTTCGTAATATTTTCTCGAGGTACTTAAATTTTCTTTCCTGCATTCACAATATTACTATGTCCTTTATAGTAATGTTTTGAGATATATTACTATAATATAAAATATACCTAGACCATGGCCGGGATAAAAAACAATAGCGTTTAAAACTTTCGTCTCTTAAAATCATTAAGGAATTAAAAATAAATCTTAATAAGATTGAATCAGACAGTAAAATTCATAAATCAATCCACAACTGAACTGCGCATCTCATTTTTTCCCTTTAAAATTCATTTGAGTTCTTTTATTAGGTGCATTGCGTAAATTCAGTGGCATTTAATGTGAAAAGCGCGATGGTGGAGTTGAGCAGTGAGCAGTATGTGTGCTAATTGAGCGTTTCACCGCCTCCCCCGCGCGCCGCACGCCGCCCGCACCCCGCGCCGCACGCCGCTCCGCCGCGGAATGCGCGCCCGCTGCACATTCGTTAGCAATATTCCACTAACGAACCAAACTAATAGCCATTAAGTTGAATAACGTAGCACTTTGCGCTTCGAATACCATACACTGTAGTGACACATGATTCCTGATTTGTACAAACCCCGCTTATCGTACATATGTTTTAAATATTACAAAGGCTTAACAATTATGTTGACCACTGTTTCCTTTTTATTATTTCACAAAAAAAACGCGTTCTAATTTGCTAACCGAGGTGTATATTATTTTATTCAACATGTCTTAAGTATTTTCAACTTTTCAATACGTAATACAAAATATATAAATTTGTAAATATGAAATCGCCTACGAAGGCGCCGGTTCTGATTGCATGCGGTGAATGCAACGCAGCGCTCCATTATGTGGCACATAAATCAAATGCATTGAAATCTCCTTCCTCTATCGTGTCGGTGAGTCAATGCATTTCCAAATAACAGATATTTAAATCTAGACAATTGATAAAATTTGCGTCATACACTCAGATTAAAATAAATGCAAATTTCTTAAATATTCCCTGCCATACTATTTTATCTTTTACTGTTTTTTTACTACGTTACTATTTATTAATTAGTATAAAATCAGTAAGATAAATAGTTTTAGCGTACAGATTTTTCATGTATCAATATTATTGGAAAACACTCGATATTCAATTATCATTTAAACCGGTGAACATGATGCTCTCAATCGACAAAGCGGTGACTGTGTTATC